GGACGTTAGAATTTGGACGTCCTTGAGGGATGTCCCTGGGACGACTATCGAATACCTAAATCCTACAGTATTCCTTATCAAGCACTACAGAGGACATCCTAAGGACATCCATAGGACAACCTATCAGCAACGCTGAGGGATATCAATTGTATGTCCATAGGATGTCCTAGGGACGTACGAATTATTCTTGAATTTGAATTTTTCTGGGTCCCTCTAGGATCAGATCTTGCATAACTGATAAGGATATTCAGTTGAGTTGATGGTCCGTAGAAGGTCCCCAAAAAGTTTCCCAAGGATGTCCAGTGGACATACGTGAAGGACATTGACGAGGAGTACTTATAGCCTACGAGCAATCATTCGTCGGCGAGGTGGAAGTTAACGTCCTCGCAGGGACAACATATTGAAAGTACCGACTGGGACGTCCATAGGACCTCATTTCTAGGACATTGGAAGAGTACAGTTCATGTATCAATTGGGAAATCCGACGGATATCCCTAAGGGACATTCGAAGGATGTCCCTAAGAGACATTTCGATTGTTATACGATCCTGGAAATATTAAGGGCGTCTGTGCAGAGATATTTGAAGGAATGTACCATCAGGGACATTTCATGGTTGTCTAGAAGGGACATTATATAAGATCTGAAGTCATGCCAGCATATGTACTACTCGGGACATGCCAAGGACGTCCTTGCATGGACATTCTACAATATGTACTACGTGGGACGTCTAAGGAATGCTATTTCTAGGACATTTGAAATGATGTTCCAGCTGGGACATCTCGTGGACGTCCTTGCTCAGACATTACATGAGGTGTACGGGATGGGACGTCCCAAGGACACCTATTTCTGGTTCGGGACATTCGGACGTGAATTGCACCAAATAAGGACGTCCCTAGGACGTTGTGTGCTATTAGGGTTGTCTTCTGTGAATGTGAATACTATTGTGATTGGTCATATTGAATCTCTAAGGTGATCATTAGTTACAAATCTGGCAGCATCGAAATATGTGGTCCTACTTTTCAAGCGAAAGCCTGAATTCGATTCATGACGTCATCGAACCTATGGCGTTTTTCGATCGCCGAATTTAGTTATTGAAAAAAAAACTTTGCCATGATTTTAAATAATGAATGACTGCATCAAATACTATTTATACACGGAATGTGGCGTAAATTCGACTAGTGTGTACAACTCTATTATTTTGCGAAAAAACCCAGTTAACACAAACATCTATGAGATGTCGCATTCATGGCAGTTGATGTCATAAAAGCGAATCACAATATTACATCGCTGATATCTACACGGAATTCCTCGTGTGACAGATAGTTCGCAAATTCCATCACATTCTGTAGGATCTGAGACCATTATGGATATAATATCGAAGAAGCTCCTTGACATAACAGAGACTATAATTTTGGAATCTAAAATTTCAGTAGTTGAGAGTCGTAATTCGATGTATCTTAATTGACAAACTGCTTCACATTGTGCAGAATGATAAAACAAAAATATGCGTCAATTTGTGAATCTCTCTCACATCTCAAGGAAATTCATTTAATATCGAACAATACTTGGAATTATCGGTCTACTCTCATACTCATGAATGTAGCGCACAATGTGACTTATGATAAGATTCGTACACACTCGGTCGGTGTCGGTCTGACTAATGTACACGTGTCCGTAAATTCTTCAGCAGTGGCATGCTTTCGTATCGTCCATTTCGATGTTCCAGTTCATTCGGTGTTAGTATGCAGTTCGGGTTTGACGTTATAGCTCACATACTGAAGCATGTTTTTCTAATTGTAAATTATGATTGACTAAAGATGCTATGTGCTTCTCATCTAAGTTACAGGGTAAGTACGATTACCTACAACGTTCATAACTTGATACAATACTGGTTGACAATGAGGAAAGGGTAGACGACACGTCGCAATTTCAAGACGATAATGATACTTACAATGTTAGCTTTGAAGATATCATTTTGAGATCAGGGTGTGAGTGAACGTGCACATTCTGATTGTACCTACATATATATAAGAATTGGTGCTACTCACGGTTGAACTATAAGTGGTGGGACCTAAGGTGGGCCCAAAGTCTGATTAAGAACAAAATTTTAGCAACATGAATGGAACGAAAAAATGCGCCGCAGCTATTCTCTATCTCCGTTGTCACCCGGTATGAAATAGTAGGTATGTAGATATGAAGTGACTCAAACACTTTTCAATATTCTCATTATGGTTATTCTCTACTCACTCTATAAGATAGTATTTCTTATCTATACTTACCCTATTATAGTTGTATAGATGATCAACAGGAAATGGGCAAAGAGAAATCAATTGATTGTTCTTATATTGATTTCCAGATGCCAAATCACAAAAGACATCTGGACCATTACCTTGGAATAATTTGAAATATTGAGCAGGGATTGGTTTCCATATGCTACAACGGAAGGAGCGATGAGGAGCAGATATTGGATGTTCTTGGCTACATGATGTGTTCGCATAGTTGGATTGATCCATTGATCTCATTCAAGTTAATTTCTTCACTATTATACAGGGTATATCTTCAACAGTTAACGCGATCTATATATGGAGAACTAAAAGTAGCACGATTCTTAAAATTTGTAGGGACGATGAAGGAATTATGGGAAATCCTTCTAAAATATTTTCGTTATTGTGAAGCTTCTGATTTTTCCGAAAGTGACTTCATCTTTGTTATTTCCAATGGAACACCCTGTATTATTCAACATTTTTGAATTCCTCTCATAATTTTGATTCAAATTAATGCATCATACCTCATACCCAAAATGGAGCGTTCTTGAGTTATTCGAGTTTTTCTTGAAAAAGTTCGACAAAATTTGTCATTCAATGCAGCCTTTTGAACATAGAAAATTTTTATGGGAATTTAAATTTTAAGTGATATGCATATTGATTAAATCGTGAATATTGATTGATCTGGAACATTGAAAATCTCAATTTTTTTCGAATGAAAACCATATTTTTTTCCATCATAATTCAATTCTATAATAAAAATGAGCCCTAGTTCGAAGTGACTTCCCTATACCCAGAACCAAAAATTTTGGAGATATTCCAAAAATAGTTTTTAATCCTGCATACTTTTTCCAGAAAAACACGAATAAGTCAAGCACGCTTCATTTTGTGTATATATATATACTTAAGTAAAAGTATGCAGGATTAAAAACTATTTATGGAATATCTCCAAAATTTTTGGTTCTGGGTATAGGGAAGTCACTTCGAACTAGGGCTCATTTTTATTATAGAATTGAATTATGATGGGAAAAAATATGGTTTTCATTTGAAAAAAAATGAGATTTTCAATGTTCCAGATCAATCAATATTCACGATTTAATCAATGCATAGCACTAAAAATTTAAATTAGGGTATGATACATAATTTTGAATCAAAATCATGACTTGAAGAGGCCATATTTTGAGGAAAATTACTGTCCGGAGCTTCAATAGTATAGAGGAATACAGAAATGTAAAAAAATTCAGGGTGTAATTTATATTGAAAAAAAAAAGATGCCCTCACTTCTGGAAAAAACGGAAGCTTGACGATAACAAAAATATCTTAGTTGGATGCTTCATGTTTCCTTCACCGTCATTACGAATGTCCAGAATTGTGCCACTTTTAGTTCTCCATATACCGGGTGACACAGACTCATGGTATACGCCCCTTTTCTAATTTTTTTCTTCTAGCTATATTTCTAGAAGTTGAAACATCGAATATGCTCACTAGAGGGCACTTTCTCACATTTTAGGATTTTTTCCACCTTTCCGTTTTCCTGGAAATGACTTCAACTTTCGATTTTCAAACGGAACACCCTGTACTTTATTTCATGATTGGTTGGAGATTATTATAACGAATTCAACGATACCGGGTTTGATTGGGTTATTTCAAACGATCACGAAGATATTTGCGTTCGAAGTTTCGATATTGCGCCGTCACAACCATTGATCATAATATGGATACTTCAAACGTAAATATCTTCGTGATCGTTTGAAATAACCCAATCGAACCCGGTATTGTATTTGTTATTATAGTCTCTAACCAATTGAAGAATAAAATATGGGGTATTCCATTCAAAAATCGAAAGTTGATGTCAATTCCAGAATAACTGGAAGATAAAGAAAGTCATAAAATGTGAGATAGTGCCCTGTATATAGTCAGCATATTCGATGTTCTAAATTTCAGTAATATAGCTAGAAAAACAAAGGAGAAAGAGGGGTAGACCATGAGTATGTGTCACCTGGTAATCCCGGTATAGATATCGCCTTAACTCTTGAAGATATTCCCTGTATAATAATCATTTCAACAATGTCCAGGCTAACGCTGATTCTAAAATTTTAATCATTGTTAGATGTAGCTATAGTTTTGCTCAATATTACATGTACGTACATATTTTGATGTGAAATGAGATTAATTTTCAATAAAATCGAGTAGCCTTGTGAAACGTTTGAGTTATCTATTTGACCAGAGATTCGACACCTATCAGTCCTCTCATTGAATACCTTCATCAATCTACATGTGATTTCACTAGAGAATCAAAACTAAATGTGTATGTGGCATTTTTGAGAAGCACAATATAATTTTCTCAGGGCCGCTATTATATCAGTATAATAATCGAAAAGAACCTCACATTTAGAAATGGTCGATGGTTTACCAAACCTCACATTTTGATTATAATGTAACCTCAATGTGAGTCTAATTTAAACGTGAAATCTAGAGTCACATTCAGCTAACTTTGAGTCCCATTCGGCATCTAAATGTGAATCATAAAATGACCAAAAGGGTCCGGAATAGCAGTCATTGTGATTTCAGTAGGACTCTCAATTCGAGTCACGGATGTGATGTGTGGCATGAATGTGATGCCCTCTAATATCTCTGGGATCAATCTGTGTTAACTGGGAAAATCCACTTCCCTATATTCTGACTCCATATTTGTAGAACACAACATTTTTTAAGTATCTACCGTTATTGTTACAGGGCTAGGAGGTGGATGGATGCTTGCCCCTTGACTGATCATGCAGACCTCAGTAAAATTAAAGTATGCTCGGACCATTTTGAAAACTGTTACTTGAACAGCCATGGCAACAGGCTAATGGCTGACCCTGTCCCTACGATTTTTCCTTCGTTTCATGGACCTTCTACTCCATCCAGTGGTAGGTATAGTTAGGGTACAGACGTACAGACAATCGATTTGGGATTGCACCCTTTTCATTTGACGCTTCTATTTGAGCCGATTTGAGCTATTAAAAACCTACCCAGCGAGCACAAAAACATCTCAGAGATGTTGAAAGTACGAGATTTCGAGACATTGAACCTCCACTGCGATGTTCTGTTCACATATGAATAGAACTATTATAGAACAGCCAATGTCCGCCGCAGGCGGCAATTATCGAGATGTCCTTGATATGTCACAAAACTACCTTCTCCCTAGTTCTTTTTAAAGCCTTTTCATGGACACAACAAAACATTTTCAACGCGTCTTGCGCACATTGAATCGCTGTAAAAAAACATTTTTGAGGTACTTTTCTGAAGCCTTCTGTCAAAATGAACTTTTGCATTAGGATTCCATTTCCCTTGAATGAAAAAATGCATAAGAAATAGATTGAACATAAAACTATTTTCTTGATATGAAATTACCTTCCTAATCGGTTTCTGAGTAGTAGTTGAATTGAAAGAAAGCTACTTTTCTTGAATGACACAAATTGTCTTTGGTTTGCAATTGGTAAGATTTTGTGATGAATTTGATTAATTTTGAAATGACTGCAATAGTCAGCTCTATATCTATCAACGCTGATCCAACGGTATAAAAAACGAACATGGCACCCTTCCTCTAGCTAATATTAAGTGAACAGAAAATTGACAGAAACGTAATATGTGATTTCCATAGTCTTCAAAATATTCCAGTACTTTCTGATATCTTTTTTAGTTCGCAAAACGACATTTTGAAAAGGTCTACGTTGCAACTTTCGCCTAGTTTGATCAACTCAATATCTTTTACCGTTTAGGAAATAGCAAAATATACAGGGTGTATTTAAATAACACCGAAAAAATTCAAGGGGCGATTCCTTGTGATATTTGAGGAAATAAAGTTCACATGAACATGTGTCCTAACTTGCTTCGTCTTCGAGATACAGGGTATTAATATTTCCAAGAAAAATCGTGTTTTTTATTCATTACTCAGTTGTCTTTTCATCAATTTCAATAAAACGTTTTGGTTTTGTTAATATTGATATGAGGCTACTTTTGGTGCAATTAGATTCGAATTAATATTCCCAGTAGCGTCACAGTGGGTAAATTCATCGATATTTATGGTGAATGTCATATTGTTTAAAAAAAAGTGTTTAAAAGTGTTTTTAACCGCCAGCTTAGTTGCAAAGCAACCCTCGAAAGTCAGAGACTTGTGTGAGTTAAGAAGACGGGGACCTTAGCTTTTTAAGTGTCATCCGAAGCACTACTCGGCTGGTAACCGTGGACAGTCCAAAGGATTGATATCTAGGTACCAAGAATGTTGGGTTGGCCACCTATCTCCTCCCGCCCAACGAAACTACCGAAAATTAATTCAGTGCTCGCGCCGGGGATCGAACCCGGACCGCCTGGGCAACAGCCAGCGACTCTACGCTCACGGCCACCACCGGTTTTTCTGAGTTTCATATTTTTATCAGATTGAACTATTGAAACAATTTTTTTATCCTCTGTGTAATTTTTGTATCTATAGCTTGTTTTTTGAGGAAACAATAAGAATTCGATTTGACTCAAAATTTTAATGTAGGCGTGTTTTCAAGACTTTCATTGAGATTACTTAATAACCCCAATTAGAATCATTTTGAAATTTTTGGGACTTTCTCAGTCTATACTGAATTTAGGCACCATGAAAGCTTTTACAGGGGTTATAAATAAAAACAATTAATACTTCCAACTTCAACGTCCTGTATCTTAAAAACGGAGCAAGTTAGGACACATGTGTATACACCCTGTTATGAAATCGGTGGGACCCTGATACTATAATTTATAGTTCATGATTTCTTCATGATTTCATTTCAGATTCACAATGGTTTGAAATATCGGCTCATACTGATGGTGCTGGTCAGGAACATAATAACTTCATTAACGATGGCCGGATAATGACGCTTGATAACGGATTGATAGTTACCCAGTATGTGGTACCCGATATCGAATTGCCCCCTCTGGTACCCATAAAAAGGGATGGGGCAGCATTAGGATTCAACAGTTTGTCCCGGAGGAGTACACCTTACTCCAGGCTTCTAGACGATGACACGGTACCACCTCTGGTTCCGATAAGCAGGCAGAACACTCAATGGTACACGTCTAGTTCACCATGTACCGATGTACCGCCTTTAGTACCGTTTGAACCTGCTTCTAGAAAGTCGGACACCACATGTTATGCAGGTAAATCACAGTCAACATCAGACCCAAGTAGCAGGAAATGATTAGTGTCATATTATGACCCCTTAAAGCAATTTGTTATACCGGGTGATCAGTTATATTTAATTTTTTTCCACAAACAGGACGAACCCAGAGATAATATTTGTGGTGTGGACTCGGGAGAGTGTTGGAGACGGGACGTCTGTATTAAAAGACTGCGGGATGATAACTGGTTTATTCATCGTTCATATAAGGTTCATTAGGGTTCGAACTATTACGGTTCTATAACTGTCAGGAGTTTGCGCAGTAGAATCGGTCGCGTTCGGGTTTTGTGGAACTGTTCTAGGACTGACCCTTTACGCGTTCGGGTTTTTCCAGAATCGTCCTAGGACGGTCCTAGAACTATCCGAAACCAGTACCTGCTCTCGAGCATGAACCGTTCTAGGATTATTTTTGGCGCATGCTCATTGCTCATTACATTTAGTTTTCGATTCTACCTGTTGTGGGGTAACGTCATAATGATATATTTTTTATTTATTCAACTGTTTATTGCTATTTTCACTATTTTCTCAATATTATGGAGTTAGTATATTCATTTGATGGTAGTAGTTCCTCATCTTCAAGAAGCAGTGGTGAAGGAGTTCCTTGCTGAAGCTGCTGAAAATATTGTGCCTAATCTGGTAATTCTCGAACTTTTGTTAGATAATCCGAACGATGGAGGATTATGTTGGGGATACTTTGCCATTACGGGTGTCGAAATTCATGTAGGTACAAGGGACAAAACATATTGAAAATCTAGCTACGAATGCTATGATGGAATATATTCACAATTCCTTCCCAGAGGGCTTCCAGAGATATTGTGAATAGACTCTAAGGAGAGTTTGAAGCTTCCGAATATTATCAGAATAAAGATCAGGTTCCAATAAACTATTGTTTTTTTTCGCAAATTCTGGATAGAGGTTGAGTTCTCAGAGGTTCTCTCCTGCAGCGTTCGGGTGTTCATAATTTGTGAACCGTTCTGAAACAGTCCTAGGATGCGAAACAACTGCGCACTAGTTCTACGCAGTTCGAGAACCATACTTGAACAGTTCTGAAATCGGAACCCGAATGATCCTATATATTATCACAGATCAGTTTTCAGTGTACCAGGCACAGAACAATAGGTGCTGGTGCAAGGTGCGGCGGGCGTAATTTCGGCCTGAAAGTACCTTGGCTACCTGCCCAAAGCAGAGGGCCTATCTAATGACTTGAGTAATTTCGGTGGAGGAAATTTCGGCCGAGGGTACATGTCATGATTATGGAAAATATTGGTTTATGGGTTTACCTTATTATTAAAGATATTCTGTACACTTAGTTTGTCTGCGATCAACAGATAGAGAACTTTGATTTCCTATAATGGCCGTTTCCATAGTAAAGAGTTCGCGTGGTTGTGACTTGCTAATAATAGAAAAATTTTCATTTTGTAAACAAGATGTACTAAAAAGTGGGGAAGTTCGTTGGAGCGAGGTGCATAAAAAAATTTAAAATGTTTAGCTAAAGTTTATACAATTGGTGCTGAACTTACTGTAACCAGAAGTGACTCAACTCACAATCATGAACCAGATGAACGTTCTTTGCAGAGAAAACTTGTTACAACTGCATGCAAGCGAAAAGCCCAGGAGGATATATCGGAGAAACCATCTAAAATTATAAAGAGTGTTCTTTCAACAAATTTACCGGAGGAATTGATAAGCACCGATATAAGCCTTATAAGAAGAAATGTGTATAATAGTCGTCGTAAGCTCTTGCCAGCCATACCTAAAGATATTCATGAAGTACATACTGTACTTGACATGTATTCTCCTAAAACGACAACAGGTGAAAATTTTCTGTTAATCAACAGTTCAGATGATAATATCATTGTTTTTTCTTGCCAAACAAACATTACTACATTGTGTAAAATGAATTTTTTGTATATGGATGGTACATTTTCTTTTTGGACGAAATATATTTTTACCTGCTCCGTTAGGTCGAAAATGCTTATAAGATAAGAACAAACCCTTAAACCTCCGGCCGAATTCACATGTCCTTTTTAAGTACCTGACCTTATTGCGGCCGAAATTTCATCCGTCCGATTTATCTTCACCTTCACATATAGTAAATGCTTTTGCAACACATTTCAATAGTGTCTATGTGCCAGATCAAGATGACGTTGGTCAAAACAACATCAATACTGAATTATTGAATAATCCATGTCAGTATCTAATTATCAACGAAATAACTCGTAGTGAAATAATTGCAGCAGCTGGGAAATTGAAGAACAAATTTACTTGTTGGCCAGATAATATCCCCGTAATTCTTATAAAAAAACATATTCGATTGTTATCTGAACCACTGTATTTTATTTTCAACCTTATTATAAAGACTGGGCAATTACCGAAAACTTGGAAATTATCACGTGTATGTCCTGTGTTTAAATCAGGTAAAAAATCTATGATTGAAAACTACCGTCCAATTGTTTTAATTTCTGCATTTTCCAAGCTGTTCGACTCCAGAAAACAAGTAGACGTAATTCATACTGACCTCAGTAAAGCCTTTGACCGAGTGTCAGATGCAAACCTTTTGAAAAAATTATCCGGTTTTGGCATTTCAAAAGCGATCCAGAGCGTTCTGAAATCATTTCTATCTGATAGGCAACTATTTGTTGAATATGAAGGTGTCAAATCTTTCATGTTTGTTTCCACAGCTGGTGTTCCCCAAGGGTCTAATCTGGGACCTTTACTTTTCCTACTATTTATAAATGATATTTGTGATTCCATTTCTTCTCAGAAATTACTGTATGCTGATGATATGAAGATATATAGAGAGGTTAAGAATGTATCAGACTGTGTGTCATTGCAAAATGACTTGGATTTTCTAAATGACTGGTGTATTCGTAACAGGCTTTATCTAAATATCAACAAATGCAAGGTAATGACTTCCTCCCGGAAGGTCGAATCAATTGAATATAATTATACTTTAGATAATACAATTTTTTTCCGTGTGTTGAATACTAAAGATCTTGGTGTCATGTTTGATAATAAACTCACATTTTCTAATCATGTTGAAAACATTGTTACCAAAGCCATGAAAATAATGGGTTTCTTGATTCGAAATTGTAAGGAATTCGAGTCTCTTGATGCTATCAAAACTATATATTTCTCACTAGTCAGAAGTAAGCTTGAATATTGCAGCACGGTCTGGAACCCTCGTCAACAAAATCATGTCAATCTCATAGAGTCTGTGCAGGGAAAATTCGTAAAGTTACTTTATTCATAAAAAACATACACAGTATCCTCAGAGAGGATTTGATTACAATGCACTACTGGACGAATTCAATCTGCCTTCCCTACGTAAATGTCGTGAGAAAAGTGACTTAATATTCACTCATAAAATTGTAAACAACAGTATTGATTGCTCAACCCTAGTTTCTTCCTTAAATTTCAATGTACCACGGTTGGCGTCAAGATCGAATATAACTTTACGTATTTCAATTCCACAAACTCTCCACCACTTTAACTGTCCAGTTAGTTCCATGTGTCGAAGTTACAATAATCTACAGACGGATGCTGACATATTTTTCTTGACTTTAACTCAATTCAAGAGAAAAATATCCAATTTACTTCTGAACTAACATATATATAGTCATTCATACATACCTAGGTTGGGATGAGATAGTATAATATACTCCTGTAATTGGGCTCTAGGCCTGTTGGATGTATAAACAATAAAATGAAAAATAAAAAAAAATTCTTTGCAAAAGATGTTCCCTTTCGTGTGCTCAAAAAGATGGAAACAAAATGTCACCAATCCCCTTGCTTTCAGATGTGAAGTTGGAGGACAATCCGTTGACCTCGACGATGAAGATGGAAGAGATCGATATTGAATTGACCACAGTCAAGGTGGAGGAATCTGAAAGGATTGCCGCTAGCGACCGTACTGAGGTTGGATTGGATCTGAAGAAGGAGGAGGACCAAGATTTAGACGAAAAAGCCGATATACGGCTGTTGATTGACAGCGAGAGCGCAGAATCCTATTTTGACGCACCCGACTATGTTTGGATAAAAAGAGAACCGTGAGACGAGACTGGAATAATGACCTGAGGAAATATCGAGTGTATTTTTTCACAACTTAAAAAGAATATATTTTTATTTGTTATTTGTGGATTAAGAAACTTTTTTCCTTTCTAGTTGTTTCATCAAAATAGATAAAAATTTACTGAGTAGGTACTTGTTTTTTACACATAGGAGTCAAGTCACAATTTTTGTCGGTTACTCAACCGAACTCACAACATCTGAGTTGACTCGTTAGCGTTGGGCATGTAACCCGACATTTTGGCCACTCAGACACACGTGAAAAATACAGGCTTCAGCTTTGGTGGCAACTAGCATGTCTCTATAGTGAGATGCACTGATGCTGGTCTGGAAGACCCGTTTTACCATACCATCAGGTAATGCGAGAGTCCAAATAGAGCCAGTTATCATAAGGAGATTAGTATTTCAAGGGGACTCCTTCAGCCCTCTCCTATTCTGCATCTCACTTCTGCCACTATCCGTTGAGCTCAGGAAAACCAGAGGATACAACTGCGGCCGACCCAGTTACCGAAGGCATAAGGTCACCCACTTATTCTATGTGGATGACTTCAAACTTAATGCCTCTGGTGAAAGGGATATGGACCAATCTCTCAGGGTGGTGTAGGAGTACACTCAAGCAATTGGAATGGAATTCGGAATAGACAAATGTGCACTGGTTCATCTCAAGAGAGGATAATGCGGAAACTACGACAAGGACGCGCAGCTCGTGGACGGAACCATCCTAGACCACCTGGATGCTGGAGGGACGTACACCCACCTGCTGCTTCCTGTTCCGATTCCCACTTTATCAAGACAGCTTCATCCATAGAACGGCTAGGCTCTGGAATTCATTGCCTGTGGAAGTATTCCCAACAATATATAATCTCCAAAAGTTCAAAAAAAATTCCAATACCTACCTCCTGTCCCTATCCTCCCTAGGAACGCGCGATGTTCCTTGAACATTATAGGGATTCCCTTTCGTGCGCTCCAAGCGATAAAAAAAATTGAAGAGATAAAGTGGACTCAAGTCGAGATGCGACAACTTGACGTAATTACTCGCAAGATGATGCATCTCCATAGGAGTCTGCATCCAGATTCGTCCGTTCCACGGTTATACATACCTAGAGACCAGGGTGGCCGTGGACAGAATGGTTCAAGATGGCGCCTGCAAAGTCATCAGGACTTCGGATCTCCTTCTGCAAATGGTTAAAACCCATGGAGATGCAGACGTAGAAGCTTTTCTTTTCAGGGCAGCATGTCGAGTAGCCGATGAACTGTCTCTGATTTTCGATTCCAAGCGCGAGGCTCAGGACTCAGTTACTGAGCTAGAGCCTGCTCGGAGAAAGGCTTGCATCAAAGTTTCAGAAGTTACTGAGCTCCTGCAGCTTCACATGGAAAAAACCATGCATTCGGTCTACTTATCAGTACCCTCCATACCTCCTTCTCTCCCAGGGCTCAAATACCTGCCAGGCAAATCAGAAACGAACGAGGGAGAAATATTGACAACATGAATATGGACTTGGCAACAATTCTCGAATGGGGATCCAGTAACTTGGTAGATTTCAATGCGAACAAAACACAAGCATGCCTTTTCTCTAGAAAAGCCGATCTCACTGTGCCAAACATAAGCATGTCAGGAATAATTATACCTTTGAAGACATCCATTTCGATGCTTGATATTACTATCAGCAATAACCTTTCTTGGGAAAATCACGTGAGATCAATTGCGAGAAGTGCATCCCAAAAACTTGTTTTTCTGTTAAGGGCCAAGAGCCATTTCACTTCCAGTCAGCTGCTTATGATCCATATGGCACAGATCCCACCTATCCTGGAATACTGTTCCCATAGTCACTCACTTCTTTCAGAGATTATACAGACCATAGATAAACACTGTATATGGCATGAGAGGCAACGTCTTTCGAGTTGTGAATGTGTTTCAACAGATGTCGCTGTCTATCGTGGATAGAATATTGAAGCTGTAGTAAAATCGATATTTACTACGTCCATTCACTGGTATTTACATCGTTGCCAAGACTCCTACTATATTGGTAGTGCTAATTTATTATATCTGAGATGACCGAGACCAGCCGAGACGATGATTATTTTCAAGGAGAGTTTGGATTCACGCCGTGACTATTTGAAAATATTGACATTTATTTATGAAATACGAATAATAATTAATTTATATTTCAAAATTACGAATTATCTAGGTACATTAATTATCTATATAAAAGTAAGTCCAATATATTTGATTATTTTCGGATTTCTCTTAGTCCGGAATGGGATATTAAAAAGTATTGAAATTCGTGAAAATTAGAAAATTCAAGATGGCGGATCCGATATGACGGACGATCATGTAATCATGATCCGATTCTATTCAATATTTTTTGTATCTGGGGGTTTGCGGGGTCGGAGATTATGATTCTTTCGACAAAATTAGAGAGTTAAAGATGGCGGAACCAATATGGCGGACAAGTTTTTTTAATATTATGATCCGATTCTATTCAAAATTGGTATCTGGAGGTTTTTGGGGCCGAAGATTATGATCCTTTGGTCAAAATAAGGAAATACAAGATGGCGGAACCAATATATGGCGGACGAGTCTCGTAATTATGATTTGATTATCTTCAAAATTTGTATCTGGGGGCTTTCGGGGTCGAAGATTATGATTCTTTTGTCAAAATTAGGAAATTCAAGATGGCGGACGAGTTTTGTAGTTATGATCCGATTCTATTCAATATTTGTATCTGGGGGTTTGCGGGGTCGGAGATTATAATTCTTTCGACAAAATTAGAGAGTTAAAGATGGCGGAACCAATATGGCGGACAAGTTTTTTCAATATTATGATCCGATTCTATTCAAAATTGGTATCTGGAGGTTTTTGGGGTCGAAGATTATGATCCTTTGGTCAAAATAAGGAAATACAAGATGGCGGAACCAATATAGGGCGGACGAGTTTCGTAATTATGATTTGATTATCTTCAAAATTTGTATCTGGGGGCTTTCGGGGTCGAAGATTATGATTCTTTCGTCAAAATTAGGAAATTCAAGATGGCGGACGAGTTTTGTAGTTATGATCCGATTCTATTCAAAATTGATACCTGAAGGTTTTCGGGGTCGAAGATTATGATTCTTCAGTCAAAATCAGGAAAAACAAGATGGCGGAACCAATACATGGCGGACTAGTTTTGTGATTATGATCCGATTCTATTAAAAATGTATCTGAAGGTTTTCGCGGGGTCGGAGATTATGATTCTTTCATGAAAATTAGGAAATACAAGATGGCGGACGAGTTTTGTAATTATGATCCGATTCTATTCAGAATTTGTATTTGGGAGTTTTCGGGGTCGGAGATTATGATTCTTCCGTAAAAATTAGTAAATTCAAGATGGCAGAACCAATTTGGAGACGAGTTTTGTAATTATGATCCGATTCTATTCCACAAACAAATTCATCTATTCATCATTGATCATTTTCGGAAAAGAACAAATGTTTCTATGCACGAAATATTTAATTACTCCTGTGGTTATGAATGAAAGCTGAAAACACCAAATTAGGTACATACAATTACTTCAAACGATAAATATAGTGTCATACACATTCCATGTTATAAAGATCTATTTCACTTATTCAAAAACAATATTTATATTGAGTGGGGCAATTACTGGAGAGAAATAACAGAAAATTCAAATAGCTCATATTTTAGGATACATAAAGAACTGCCTAATAATATAAATTATATTTACGATCATGAAGCAAATAAAAAGTACTGTACTATTATGACGAGATTGAAAACAAATCATGGATGTTTTCCATATCATCTGAATAAAATAGGGGTGATAGATTCTCCCTTATGTAACATAGATAATGAAATTGCGGATCTAAATCATATAATTTTTAGCTGCAGAAAATTTCCTAGAAATGATCTCTTTGAAGATCTTGTGAAGGTCGGGGCTCAGCTACCGACAACAGTAAACGTATTGCTTACTACAGGAAAAACATTTTTGACATATTGGTCAAATTCATAACAAAAAACAATATTGAAATATAAACGAAAAATTTAAATTGTGTGTGGCTGAAGGACTAATGTCCATGGCCATTAAGGTAGGAGAAAAAAAAAAGTGTCATACACATTCAAAACATGCCCAAGCTTATAGTTTAAGTGTAATAGGTAGGTGTGAGAAACAAATGTAAAAGAAAACTTTCGAATCACTTGGTATTTATTTCAGAAAAAGTCTCAAATATGAAAATAAAGAGATTTAAGTAACATATATCTAAAATGGCTGGCTAGGTCGGAGTCACGTGACTTTCACTAGATGTTAAAAGTAAGAATTTTTCAAATCAATCATTTAAAGTACGCTTACTCGTTTGAATTTCAAAAACATTCACTACGCGAAATTATTTCTTTCCCGATTTTACACATTCCTCTCAAATTTGAATGTTCCTGTAAGATACGAAACTTGGTTAATATTATTTGTCATTAATGTTTTCAACCCTATATATAAAGTATGCTTAATAGAAGGGTTTGAAATATTAATTCAACCTCTTGATATTTTTTACAACTATTTTATTGGATGAAATTTTGAAAAAACATGGCTGAAAATTTATTTACTAACTTTTTTTTCTAAAAGTAATTTCCAAAACTTCGAAGAATTTGACATCTTTTTGAAAGAAAATTTTTCATCCAAGAAAAGTTGTAAGAAAAAATGTCTTAGGGGTTGAATATTTCAACCCCTTCTAAGCATACCTACTTCAGGATTGAAAAGATTCAAATTATACGTATTTTTGAAAAAAAAACAATAACTCTCTCTGTTATAACTTGAGGTTTGTTGAAAAAAAGTACTAAAAAACTTACAACTAACCACAATTTAAAATCCACTGTTCGGCACGAGCATCACTAGGAACACGAAACATTTGTAAAGTTTCATCGTCTCTTTGGCATATTCCACAATTGAAAAAACTACATTTATTTCCACTACGGTGGTCCTGAGGGCGATTCATGATCG